TTTCCCTACTCTCATGACCAGGATGTGTAAAATGATGTTTCCTAAAAATTCTTTAGTTTATAATATGAAATCATGCATCTAGTGCACACAAAAGTGCAACAGAAGGTGCATGTGCTAAGCTTCAGCACACAGCAATTAAATCAAAACTTGCTGGCAGAAGTTTACGCACCTATACAATAACAGCACAACAGTAAATTGCTAAGGAGACATGAAATGGCTATACAAAAAAAAAAAAAAAAAAAAAAAAAAAATCAGTGAAGAACTACTGTGGTGGCCATGGTTTTCTTTGCTAATATAGGAAACAAAATGACTTTCCCCCTTTTACTTAAGCCTCAGAAAGATATTAATTTGCAGTTAGTCTCTGCTATGATCCTGCTCCAGCCATAGCTATTTACTGTATGCCACTAACCCAGACAACACTGGGGGCAGGTGGAAAGGAAGAGAGAGAGAGAGAGAACAAGAGATTGACTGATTCCTGGAATCAAGTATTTTTGTGCAAGTGTGTATTGAGGTCTGTTTCTAATGGACCTTCAAGTGGTTGATACTGCAACTTTATGCATCTCAACTGGTCTGTAATGACAGGAGAGGGGTGTGGTGTTTTACAACCTATTTGCTGGCATATGGGAAAATAACCATATGATAACAGATGCAAGCTCATGCCTTTTGATTAAAGAAAATGCATCCCTTATTTCGTTTGTTCTGGCACCTCCAGTACTAGTGAGATTTTAGAATATAATGAAATAAACTAAAACTATCTAAGAAAAATATGGGACTGGTTTCCAGTAACGTCAGCTGCTGATTGCTCAAAGCCAATTCAAAATGCTTCAGATTTTGAGAAATGAGATTTTGGAACAAATCAAACTATCAAAATACTTTAACCTATGGGATTTTGTTAATTGTACAGTTTGCTTTTTACCATTAAGAGATGGTACATGCTTTTCTGAACACTTTTAGATAGCTCTTCCTGATGAACAGATCTTTTAAGTACTGTACCACAAGCTACTGTATTCACACACACTTTTCTAAAAGTTTTTACCAACCTCTGTAAGTGTAAATTCTACCAAGACTCGTATGGAGACCCAGAAAGGATGACAACATTTATATATCTGCATAAATGCAGTTGTACCTCCTTTTTGATTGAAAAAGAAATAAAAAGAATTTTCATTGCTTAGAGTTACCTGATTGACAATCCTGGAGACAGATGATATTTGCCATATAAACAGTAAATTGGTGTAAAAGCACCACAGCAGCACTGAAACTACTGATACTACCCTGAACTAGGTATAGGAATATTTTATTGTTATCCTCCTGCAGGACCCAACACCGTACTCACAGTAGTCAACGTAAATATCACTGATTTCAAAAGGTGGATCAAACCTTTAAGTCTCTCATTTCTCTACGGAGACAGCCAGGACAGGTTTCAACACAACTGGCTCATTTTAGGAAGTTCTCCAGTCATCATAATTTAACCACTAACTTAGTACATCTCAGAGACGAGAAGATCCATTTCCCATTAGAGTTCCCTAGAGGCATCCTGTCTCAGGAATGTATTAAGACTTCCTGACCTAGGTTTCAGTGAGCCCTATAACAAAAATGCATGCCATGCTCAGTTAAGCAGTGCTTGTTGCTTTACATATGGGATTTCAATGTAGTAGGACTTTTAAAGCAAGCAAACAGAACAAATCATTGTATTATATTGTATCTGGCAAATGCAAAATAAAGGGAACAAATGTTGCAATTGGCAGGATACATGTACTAGTCTTCTGACGGAAATTTGGATAGGTGCAGATGTTGACAAGGGACAAGTAACTACGTGCTTGACTGAGTTTGACTAGTTAGTGAGAGGTTTCTCAAACCACCAATAGGGTTTGGCTTTAAAAGAAATGTCTGAAAAACATCTTAAAACGTAAGCAAGTTCTGCGTCATCCTTTACTATTTATTTCCGGCCTGACAAAGTCCATTGAAGTCAGTGGAAAGACTCCCATTCACTTCTATGGGATTTGATCACACTCTTTATTTGGCTTAAATTAACCGTGTGAAATTCAGTAAATCAGGCAAACTGACTGAAAATTCCTTTTTTTCCTTCAGTGAGGTGAACTATGATTAGTTTATAGTAGCACAGCTATAAAGCCACTGGGTGGTTTAACAGCATCTGGATAACTTTCAAACATGGCAACACAATTTATCTTTGAAAGTCTTGGCGGAAACACATCAGCTTTGACACTTGGTGCTGTGCACTTGCTGTAACAAGCAAAATTTACTGCTTGTGCAGTTATCCCCGTTCAGCAATATGGAATCTCAAAGCATTTTGTGCTAGATGTCAGTTCTGTAGAGAAGCAAGAGAACAAGTCTGAACCCATTCTATAATTTACTGAAATTTGCAAGTTATAAAATATTCTAGCTTTGGAGAAAATTCTTTATTCTAGTCCAAACCACAGATCTCTGATTTGCAATATGTATTTTTGCCCTTGAAGAATTAAACTTCAAAAGACTCTCTACTCAGCAAAATATCCAATTAAAATTAATACCACGTAACCAAGCAATTTGCAAATCTGAACTTGTGAAATAAATTGGTGCATCAGGTACTGGGTAAAATTCACTAAGACATACTTTTCAACATATGTTTCTGTTCTAGACTTAACAAAATGATTATATTTAAGTTATGAAATTGTTTTAAAAAATAGCCTGACATTTTTTTCTTTTTTTAAAAAAATGACATGCATCAAAAGTGAAGAGTCTCATACCATGCATACAAATTCATATTTACTCAAAATGTATGACTGTTTGGATCTGGTGTGCTAGTTTAAAACCACAGTGCAAACAGACCCAAACTCTTAAGTATGGAACTGGAACTCCCTTTGATTTGGAGAGTCTATGGTTTCGTGTTCCAGATTGAACCAACTCTAACCAAAAACTGGTGGTCCAAATAAGAACACGGGAGCCATAGATATTCTATTTCCTGGAGAGAATGTTATCAGCAAAAAAACCTGCTTCACATCAGTTCAATACATGGTGAATAAAGGCCTCATTTTTAAACAAAATGTGAAATTATCTGGAATGTAAGTTACAGTACAGAATGTAAAAGTGTTATCTGTAATATACTTGTCTTTGCCAAAGACATCTCCGGGGAAAAAAACAAACCAGGGACTTTTTCCTTGTACAGCAAAGTTCATGTAGAGACATGAAAGCTTTATTGCAAAACTGATGTAATTCACTTTTGTTCCCAGCTTCTGTTCCATTCCCATAATATTTGTTCAACAATGTTTGTTTTAAAAGTGTTTGAGCAGTTAGTTTTGTGGAATCTATTGGTTCTCTCTCTGCATCCCACTCCCCAATTGTAACAAAACAACTACATACAAAAGTAAATTGCAGAAATGAAAAGAGCTCTACATACTCATTACTGTGCAAATGCCTCTCCTGAGTCCATACAGGAACATCCCATTCTACAGCCTGAAGGGCCTGCTCTGGGCCATAGCACAAAAGGGGTGAAAAAATGTACGTTGACCAAAAGATAATCCTATCTTGTGTGGGCAGCAAAATAGGAAGGTTTACAACATGCCTATGAATATTTTTTTAAAGGCTGCAAATTCAAACTAGTAACCACTGAAGTGCCGTTCTAAAGTTATGGTCTGGTGACTACTGACAGTCCCTAGAGAATCTGTCACATCTGCAAAACACCTGTCCTCCTTCAAACATAGATCAGACTAGTCAAGAATTCTGTGCCTGATGATTTACACTGTTGCGAGACTGGTATCAGACCCTTTGGCTAAGTACAGACAGTCAAAAAGCTGGAGGCTGAATCAGTTCAGTCTTTGCAGGTTAGTATAAGCTTCAATGATTGAACCAATAAGGAAATGAACAGACATTAACTTGCGGCTGCATTTCCTGAATCATGTCTGCAGTGGCTCAAGCCAGAAAGTGCTACAGCATGGCTCTCTGGCACATAGCCAACATGGGCTGTGTGTTCGCTTCCTCTTCCTGCTGTCTCCAAGGTCTCTGGGATTTGCTGTCAACAATCACAGCAGCAGGACTCTGCAGGGTTGTTCATCACTTCCTCTTCCTGCTTCCAAGTGCTTCTGGGATTTGTATTCCACAGTCACAGCCAGCAGTAAGTTTAACAGGGCAAGAGAACTTGGTACTCAGGGGAAGGGAAATTTAATCTCCCCCTCCCTGGCCCTAGACCCAAGCCGGAGTTTGCTGGGGAGGGGGAGCGGGGAGCAGTGAGCCAGCCAGTGAGGCCAAGCCAGCCCTCACTGCTTCAGCTAAGGGAGCGGAGAAGTGAGGCGAGCCCTGCTCTCTGGAGTAGACAGCACAGCCCAGCCCAGTGCTGCAAAATGCTGGGATGCTAGGGAACTGATTGAACTTAAACCAGGAAGGGGTCTGGGACAGCGGTTTCATAAACTGGTTTGATCTAAATCAGTTAGTCTGATCTACATTCAACCAGGTTTATGTGCACTGAGCTGCTATTCTGTTACAGGTTTAAACCAATTTCTGATCACTTAAACCGGTTTATATGTAACTTCTGTCCCCCAGCCTGTGTTTTGAGAGGTTCATCAGCTAAAACATAAAAACAT